TGTCCAAGGCCTAAAAGTAGGCATCAAAAGCACACGCGTGCGGTCATTAAGTAATTCGGTTTAATGGTCAGCGCGGGCGCTGGACCCAACCTGCCTGCGAGGACTTCAGACTACTTGTTGGCTTTTGCCCGAATGGACTGAATGGCAACAACACAGTGTCCTCTAGGCAGAGTCAGCGGCAGTGACCGGGGACAGGGGCAAGGGGCAACAGAACAGAAGCCTGCCTAATGAGCCATACAGCGAGAACGTTCCAAAAGTGCTCTAATGTTTGTTTGTGGCATTAATTTTGTTTACAAGTCGTTTGTGCATAGGGATTGGTGGGGGGGGGTCTTAGGTGGCATTCTCATGCTTATTTGCCACGGGGGCAACTGTCACCGGCTGCCTGTCCATTCATTAGCGGGGCTCGGCTACCACAATCGAGGAGGAGCGCCTGCTCTGCTCCATCATTCATATTCAATTGGCGTTCTGTTTTTATTGCGCCTTGAAATGGACTACACATATTTGCAGGGCACTCGTTCCTGTACCCTTTCTTCAGGGGTGGAAATGTACACTTCCTTGAGAAGAACACTTAATTGATTGGTTTGCAGCTGGGCTTGAGGGTGGGCTGAGGGCAGTGTCTGACTGCGTAATTGATATTTAATTAAAGCGCAGCTCAGTCGAAGCAGTTGCCGAGTCATGAGGAGTGTCCTGCTGCCAGGGAGATGAGGCATGGGGGATGGTGCACCGAGAAGTAGTGTGGATAGCTACTTGAAAATGGCTAAGTGGTCGCCGGGATGGACTGACGAGGCCACAGAGAGTGAGTAATGTCAGCCATCTAAAGACACTAATGGCCACAGCGGAAAGTTTCAGCTACCAGCTCAAGCTCCAGCTCCAGCTCCATCTTCAGAAATTAAAGTTGAGTTCTGAAACTGCAAAAACGCAATTAATTTGGCGTAAAATCACCTCTGATTCAATTGATTACATTTTTTGTAGGTGATCCATGACACTGACAGCTGAAAGTTTTAACAAATGAAAGAAAAACGTATTCATTTTTAGGTTACTCTGTTATTTACAGAGAGTATGTTACATTTATGTATGTACAAAGTATGTATGTAAGATATTAATTAATTAAAACTATAACCACAATTATTTTAAGCCGCACTGCACGAATCGATCTCGGCTGATTTCTGCTAATTCCAGCTAATGTTACGACAGTTCCACTGTTCCACTGTTCCTCTTTTTCTCTGCTGTTTCTCTGCTGTTGCGCCAGTGCACTGTTAATCTCGTTCTGCGGTTACTGCAGTTCACTGTTACTCTCCATCTGCTGTTACTGGATCTCTGCTGTTGTTCTGCTCTCAATCTCACTCTGCTAGTACTGCTGATACTATTTCTCTTCTGTTAGTCTCATTCTCGTTCGTTGCTGCTGCTGTTGCTGTTCTGTGTCGATAGCCGCTGATCTTTCTATTACACAGTTGGCTCCCCAACTTCATTATTTATATAAATTTGAATTGCAATTCCGACTGATTCAATGTTATTAAGTTAAAGTACTTCGTTCGAGCTAAAAGCAGAATAAACCAAAACCAAAACCGAAACCAAAACCCCTGGCAACAACCGATTGAAACTATGTCAATTGGCCGAGTCGGGGCAAGCATAGGGCAGAAAACAGAAAGCATAAAACGGAGACCGAACAAAAGAATGAAACACACAATCCAATTGCAGCAAATCAAGCCGAAACAACTTTGTGTATGTGCCACTAGAAACTTTCCGACAAGGTGGGCGGCGAAGTTAGTCCAGGCTCTAATGCCATTGCCAGTGCCACTGCCACTGCTGGTGCCTTTTTTGCTGGCCATAATTATAAATCAACTAGCGAGTGTTCCCCACCTGCTGCCTGCCTGCTCCCAACTAACTAATCCACTCAGGCAAAAAGGCACAAAGCAACATTAAAAGCGGCAGCTTTGCTCCACCTCCACCTCCATCTCCCCCTTGTGCTTGTGCTTTTTCTTGCCTTTGCGACCCACTTGCAACAAGTTTAGGGTTGGGCCACAAGGGGCAGATATTCGTATAGTTGGTTGGCTCACTTTCACTCTGCGGGCGTCGCAGAACAGCAACAGCAACAGAAATGAGAGAGTGCACAGGAATGGTGTGCAGGACTGGCAAACAGTCCTTCCTGAGTCAGATTCAGAGTAACAGCGCGGGGTATTTCCCCTGTGTATGACATCAGCTATAATTTCCATTACGAGTCGAGCGCTGAAAATTGTACACCAGGGAGCTTATTAAGCACGCTTCCCTTCCCTTCGCACTGGAGTAATGTAATGTGCAAATGAAATGAAATAAAAATGTCAGGGCGCTGGGGTCGAAATGCCACCGAAAATTATAAAAGAAAAGAGAAAAATGTTCAAGAAATCCATTAGAGCATTTTCCATGGCTTTCCCATTCACTTGTTGCCGCCATTTTAAGGCTGAAGTGGCGAAATCTCTGCCCCGGAACTTCCTGAAATGCGCTATTTGTGGTCTATGAATAATTTCAGCCAAGGATAATCCAGAGTGTAATCTCTTCTAGTCGTAAATTCGGACACTGTCCAAGCCATTTGCATGACTCACAGAAGTCTTTCAAAAGCAGTATGTAGGACGGGGAAGGAAGGGTCTGGCAGGGTGGCCCGGGCCCCCTGGATGGACACAGAAATCTCACAGAACATGTAAATAAGTTGATATTTGAACTATCGCAAGAGAAGTGCAGCAAAAACGATTCGATTTATGATCTAAGACTTGCGCCCAATTGTCCTCTTTCTTTTAAGGATACTTTTATGTGTATTTCATTTCGCTCATATATTTTGTATTTTGTATTTAAAAAAAAAAAAAAAAAAAACTTACTCGGCACTCGTCAACTAAACAACTAACTCGTCAACTAAAAGAATTAAAAATACATTCTTTACGGGCGTGAAATTACATTATATTCTCGCTCTCTTTCTTCCCTTTGCTGCCTTCGTATCCATAGCACACCCCACCCACACACACCCACACTCACCCACACACACAATTTCCCTTTGTTTTTAATTCCGTTTTAATAATCAAAAAGGAGAAAAGCTAGGGAGAAGTGGCCATGACCATGGCAACCGACCTGGGGTGGAGCTCCACCCGTGGGGCTCTGATTTCAACGCTTTTTCGGCTTCTGATTATTATTTCATGGCGAGCCTTAGCTCCAGCCCGGAGTCTCGAGTGCGCCGCTCTCAAGCATTCACGCGCCTAAAAGTATCCAAGCCATGATATTTGCTTTTTATCGCCTTCGCCACATACCCATTACAGCACCAGCACATCGACACACCAGTAAATCCCAAATGCTCCACTTGTTTCGGATCTTGGGTTTCGCTTTTGGGTTCCGGGGAAGTTGGTGTCGAATTCCTATTTCGTTTTTTTCCAGAAGTTTTGCCTGTTATTATTATTTTACTTTGCCATCTTTTTCTGGCACGTTTCGTTTTATTTGACTCTTTCCTCTGCCTTTTGCCTGAACCATTCATAAATAATTCACATTGATTTCTTTCCCACTGTTGTGCTGCTGCTCGTCCTCGTCCTCGTCCTCGTCCTCTTCCTCCTCCTCCTAACCCTCACTGCCTACACCTGAATGTTGGCCAAGTTGCTTGCCGGTCTTGCTTGGTTTTCATTTTCATTTCAATTCTCCCCGTGAACAATTGACAGGAGTGGTTACCCCATAGAGTTGGGGATACCCCGCAGATTCATGGCAGATTCTTGTTTAAGCAATTCAAACTGTTATGCATTCACCGCACATGGTGGATCCTGTGGAAGGGGAATGCAAATATATGGCGGAGTTGCCAGACCAGTAGCCAGCATTGGCCTCAAAGTACAGCTCCCATCATGTACCCATCTTCGGCTGTCATCAAATGTTTCATCATTTTTTAGGGCTGACCTTAAAAACTGATGCAAGAGGCAACAATTGCTATCAGTCTTTCCATTCGTTTGTTGTCGCAGTCTTTTCTTGCAACGCCCGAGTAGCTGTCGCTCCTGGCAGTGATATGGCAACACTGCAGCAGACAGACACAGGCAGCATGAGGCAACATCCCACATCCATTCATCCATCCATCGGATGGCAAGCAGAACACTCAGTCATGCGTTCCCCCGCTCGGTGTGTGCTCTGCTCTGCTGTGCTCCTTATGGTTTTCCTTCTTTTGCATACCCTTCATGCTCATGCCCCCATGTGTCCATGTGTGAGTGAGTATCGCATGTTGATTTGATTGGATTTGATTTAATTTTCCAATTGAAAACACTTTATCATGTTTCCACGTATGTGTTTGAGCAGGCAGCCCCATTCCATAGAGTGTAGAACAACACAAGATATTACAAATGCACACGAAACCAGTATCCAGTATCCCGTATCCAGAATCCCTATGGATGCGGCGGATACTTGATACTCGCATGATTTATAAACGCGACCCGGGCAGGGCACTGTTGCACCATATTACACGACAGATTCACGTAAGCCAAGACGAATGGGCCAGGGCCCTATGAGAAATGATTCCAGCAACAGAAACTGCCAGATGATGCTTTGCATGCATCAGCGGGCAGCCCAGATTAGAATGGATTGGAATAAAATGGGAGTAAGGAAGGGAAGCCGAACATTGGATAGATCTGTTTATAAATAGTAAATGTGTGTTGGCAAAATTTGTATCGTAGAATCATCGAGTTAGAGACCGATATAATCGAATTGTAATCGATTTCGTGTTCTACATGGGATGCCTGAAAGGTGTAAAAGACAACTTGTTTTTTGTGGCAGCTGTCAAACTGGAAAGCTGTTCAAAAACTAATCAAATCGAGTTAAAAGTCGCTCGAGAATGATTTACAGTTTAATCAATCCGAAGCAAGTGCAAACTGGTTGCATGGACACTATGTATATTTTGCGATTCAGTACAGATGTGAGCACTTGGCAGCATCCCGAAGAGCTCTCGTTTGCCCGATCAATCGATAGCCAACCCGCAACTAACCCTCTGACTTTCCCTTTCTCTCCATCAGCAATTGTTCCGCTCGCAGAATCCAGGCCTTGCAGCAGCTGCCTCAAATGCAGCAGCAGCCGCAGCCGCGGCCGCAGCGGCCACATCCGCAAGCAGCGCTGTGGGGGCACCGCCCGGCGCTCCCAACGGTTCACTGCAGCAATCGCAGCAGCAGCAGCAGCAACAGCAGCAGCAGCAAATGCAACTGGCCGCTGCCTCGCAACAGTTTCTGGCCGCTCAGCAGGCGCAACAGAATGCGGCATATGCCGCGCAACAGGCAGCCCCGTACGTCATCAACCCGGGACAGGAGGCGGCCCCCTACATGGGCATGATAGCCGCTGCCCAGATGCCGCAGTACTACGGCGTGGCGCCGTGGGGCATGTATCCAGGCAATCTGATACCACAGCAGGGCACCCAGCCGCGTCGCCCCCTTACGCCCTCGCAGCAGGGAGCCGAGAATCAGCCATATCAGGTGAGTCGTCCTTCCTTCCTTCCCACGCCCCTTCCTTATCTACATACATATGTATAGTATATACACGCACACCTAAGCATTATGTACAACCACGAAATCGTTTGGGGGAGTGCCTGCTCTCCACAAGGCACAAGGTACCGTGTAAATTGTGTGCACCTGCCGGCGGCAGGTTGTCCCTTGTACAGGGTCTCCCTGCTCTATTCTCTGTTCTAAATACTCACAACAATAACAATAACAAATGTAACCCTGTACAAAATGAAACCAACCACAACGAAATCTCTGTAAAATATCGTCCAGGTCATACCGGCCTTCCTCGATCACACTGGCTCGCTCCTGATGGGAGGACCCCGCACCGGCACACCCATGCGACTGGTTAGCCCCGCCCCTGTACTGGTGCCGCCGGGCGCCGCCCGATCCGGACCCCCGCAGCCGCAGGGCCCCCAATTGTACCAGCCGCAGCCGCAGACAGCTCAACAGAATCTCTACTCGCAGCAGAATGGTTCCAGTGTCGGAGGTAAGTCCACTCACTACTCACAACTCACAACTCACAACCATCATCCCAGCAGTAATTAATGCCCAGTGTAATTAGTGTAAAGTGTTGCATACATATCTTCAACATCATCCCACTCCTGTATAGCCTGTATAGCCTGTATAGTCACTAAACCTGGGGCTCATCCGGCAACTCGCATTGTAAGTCATGGCACATTATGATAGTGCTGAAAGATTTCAGGAGGGGCTCAATCCAATTAGTGGGTGATATACAATATATCATTTTTTCACAGGATAACTATGATAATTCACTCTGCTGTTTCGCCAGTAAACTCTTTATTTTTCCAAACTATAATGCCATTTGAGACTCCACTCCACTCCACACTTCCTTCGACTGACTTGGGTTCCATATGCTCGAAAGTTCGATATTTAAAGCGAGTGTCCAACTAATTCACACGGCATGGTACCTACCTCCCTATAAATTGATAATATTTAAGCACAAATAGGTCGCTGGCTAGAGGAGGTGTTTCAATCCCCAAAATTATATTTACCATCAGTTGACTGGCAGGCAGCTCACTCCAGCCCACTCCACAAGTCTATTTCAGACAAGTTGGCTGCACAAACCGCGGAAATTCTGCACATTGTACTTTAGCAGTGGGAGGAGGCATCAACTCTGCATTTGATGATGTGTCTTGCCGGTGTCTGCGTGGCCAAAAATAACATTTTGCAATAGAAGTTGAGCTCCAAAAAGCTCCGAGCCTGCGGGGCAGCGGGGCAGCGGGGCAGCGGTGGAGGAGTAGTGCTGGCTGGCTGAAAGGAAAATGTCGACGTTGGCTTATCATTGTTGCTGCCATCCATTGTTGTAAATTTATAGAATTTCAAATTATAATTAATAACAGCAACAGCAGCAGCAGCAGCAGTCGTCGGGCAATGCAAGTTTACACTTTCTGCTCAAACTGTCAGCCATAGCTCCTCGCCCCTCGCCCCTCCCTTGTCGCCCCTTTCCCCTCCCTTGTCGCCCCTTTCCCCATGTCAGTTTCTCAATTACCGGGAAACAGACGAAAAGTGTTCGTGTAATGTTCATTGCAAGTTGAATGAAAATGCATTTGTTGTACGTATGTTTTAATTTGATTTCGTTGAAAGTTTTTGTACAAACTTTAACCGACGGACTGTTCTGTTCTGTTCTGGCTAGTTTTAAAGCGCACAGATCGGACATGGACATGGACATGGACATGGACATGGTGATGGACAGCAGTAGCTCCATTAACTCCATTAACAATCGGGCGAAATCAATTATTACGCTTTCCGCCGACAGTTTTCTGAGCTGTCGAACGGCTGTCTGCCTGCTCCTCCCTCGGCATTTACCGCATGCAAAATGCCCGCACCGAGGCATTAATGGACGGTGCAATCCTGGCCATTATTATATCGTTAATTCATTTTGCCTCATATGGCAGTTTAATGAAGTTTTCTACCCTCCACACAGCCAGGCCACTGTTTCACGTGACGTATGAGTGATTACGCATTTCGTAATTGTTCTTTGTTTCCCAGCTCTCTTTCCAGAGACTTGACTTAAAGCCGAGTTAAAGCCGAGTGTCTGTGCCTGTGCCTGTGCCTGTGTCTAGCCCTGGCCCTCCCATTCCAATCGATTCGATTGCGAATTGGAATTCAATCAAATCTATTCCTAGACGCAAGTCAAGCTCCTTCGAAATGCTTCAGTGGAATACGGCGATGCAGGTGATTAGGCTAAGGGTCTCTCGAGATGTGTACCAGATGCACTGATCCACATATCCACCTCCGCATCCGCATCCCACATTCACTGCCAATTCCACTTGCAGCACATTCGCATCTCAATTACCATTAGCACATTGGGCCAACAGTTTGTCCTCCTCTCTCACAAATCCTCTCTAACAAGAGGGGCAGCAGCATCATCAGCAGCAGCGCAACCCACTCATTATGTTGTGCAATCGATGGCCCCTCTCCAGCACTCTTGCTGCATCTGTGTGCAATGTCAAAAAGGCTTTTTAATGGAGATTATATTGTTTTAAGTGGCTGACTGAAGGAGAACAGCTGATCAGGTGCACCAGAGTGGGTGGAGGATGGAGAGAAAGAGAGGAATCCTTTTCTGTCTCACAGACAAGCTGCAATTACAAACGTTAATGCACCTTGGCCCGGGTCTGAAGGGTTGCTAGTTGGACAATTTGGAACACGCAGTGGCTGACGACGTCGACAGGGGCTGAGGGCTGAGGAACGAGAGATGGCAGCTTGACTTTGCAGCCGCCAAACCCATTTTGGGCATTGCCTTGAAAGCAGCGGGGGGAGCAGCAGGCAACAGCAGGCAGCATCCTCCTTTGCCGGTTGGCTAAATTATTATGTACACCTTCCGCATGTTGGCAACATGTGATTGCATCGAAGGCGGCACACACACGCACAGCGAGAGGGAAAGTACAAGCACCCTGCCACCGTGCCACACATCCACCCAGTCAAGCACTTTGCACATCTCAATGTAGCACATTGTTCATCCTGCAACAACCACATTGAGCCGCTCTCTGCATCTGGCTTTTGTGCAAATGAATTCGTTTATTTTGTAAAATGTCAATTGCTGTGTTGGCTTACAGAGACACCAAAGGAAGGGGGCACAGGCGGAACAAAAGGCGGCAGATTGACGGTGTCGCTTGGTGTTGCACTCTGCCAGCAGGCTTGCTCCTGCCCCAGTCTTGTTGCGTGCGTGCGTGCACCTTACGCTTAATGACAGTCTCCCTGACGTATGCAACACGGATATCGAGGAGGGAGAATTGGTACAGTGTTTTGGCTATTTGCTCCCCGCTTTTCAACCCTTCGGGAGTTATCCTTCAACAGCAGCCCGAAATTTAATTGTACGCAGAGGAAAGTTTTTCGCAATTCTCGCCGAGGTGGGGCGGCGGCAACACTTTTCCTGCCAGAGGGGCAGAGTAAAAGTTCTTAATTCCTGCACTTAAATTGCAACTAATTTCGCGCCTCATGGAAGCAGAAGGAAAGATAGAGTCAGGGACAGAGGCAGTGGTACTGAGAGAGAGTGAGCGACAGAATTCCATTTCATATGCAGACGAGTCGGGGGCGGATATACATACACAAACAATTTACATCAATGAAACGTCGCGGAAGAGGAGGAGGAGTGGCAGGAGGAGGCTGCTGTTCAGCATCCTGCTTGTTTTACTTACAGGCCTCGACTCCGCTGCGCCATGCACTTGGCTTGAGATGGGTCTCGGTCTAGCCCCAGACTGGATCTGTTTTTATTTTGTGGGGGTCTGGTACGTGTAGTTGCACAATTTAAAAGAGAATTATTCATGCAATTTGCGTGGGGACGGCACAGACACATGGCAGTCGCCTCTCTGTCTAAACTCAAGTGAGAGTGAGAGCGAGAGTGTGATGGGATGGGGCGAGTGGGAAAGCGAGCGGAGGCCCGCGTTGGGGACACACTTTTCAAAATGAAACTGCAGCCATCACACATGTACATATGTACATATTGAATATGCATGTGTGTATGTGCATGTGCGAGTGGGTGGACTGGAGGAGGTGAAATTAAAAAGACGCCAAGTTTATTGCAGGCGACATTTTGTGGTTTATGCACACGTTCCGCACACATCCGTGTGACGAGGGGCAGGCAGAGGACACTTGGTTCGCCCTTGGCTTAATGTAATGATTTTATGAATTATAAATGCACACACGTGCCCATTGTGCACACGTTTCACTAGCACTCGCACTCCCACTCACCCTAACCCTCTCTCTCACCCTAGCTCTCTCTCTAAGAGAGAAGTAATGGCCGAGCCTTTTAAATGTCCGGACAGAGAGCGAGACACGGGAAACTACCGTTATGAGGGCCGGGGCAACTTTGTAAGCGCTGTTAAGTAGGCTATAAAAAAGAACAGTTTAGGGGCCACCATCCATGAGGACATTATGTGAAATGTAATGAGTGTTGAAGCCTCTGAAAGCAACGAACTTTAAACACCCTTCATCTGGAAAGGGGATGAGATTTACCACCCATGAAATTGCAAGCCAGAGCACTATGGGGCATTTGACCACTTTTTGTGGCATTAATTAACTTCCAAACAAAACAATATTTTTATACCCGGTACTCGAAGAGTAAATAGGGTGGGTATATTGTATTTGTTGGGAATAACGGTTGTATGTAACGCACAGAAGGAAGCGTTTCCGACCCCATAAAGTATATATATTCTTGATCAGCATCAATAGACGAGTCGATAGAGCCATGTCGGTCTGTCCGTCTGTCCGTCTTGTTTGTCGGCTAGTTCTCAGAGACTATAAAAGCTAGAGCCACCAAATTATGGCTTCAGACTGCTGTATGCTCACACTGAAACCAGTGTATTTCAAAAATGAGCCACGACCCCTTCCGCCCCCGCAAAAGGGCGAACACCTCCCTAATCTACAATTTTGAAGATAAGAGAAAACATTCCGTAGGGAATGGCCATATATATCAGATCACCAAATTGGGATCCGATCGGATCATTATTATAGCCAGATTGAAGAAATTAATTTGCAGTGGCTAAACCCACCCTGTCCCGCAGCTTTTGTTGTTTTTTCACATTCTCTCATTCACACTCTGCTTCTGCTTCACTCGGCCCCTGCCTCTGCCCTCCCCCTGCCGATGCCTGTGACGGCTTTTAACCCACCCCGTCCCGCAGCTTTTATTTGTTTTTTTTTTTTGTGTGCGGTCGCTGCCTCTGCCTCTGCCGCGAGTCTGCATTATGTGGGTCTAGGGAAGGGCGGCGAGCGTGTTGGTGTGAGAAGTGTTGTGGATGTAGATGACAGATGAAGAAAAAATTTTAAATTTGACAAAACACCGCTGAGGTGCAGATGCGCACTATTGTCCCAATGACCAGTTTTGGTGGCTGTTTACGCGAAATTAGCGCAAAGGGCTTATGGCCGGGAGCAATTAGTATTTTGTATAAGTAAAATGAATTTGTAGCATTAAGCTATTGAATTGTTGCATTTACGACATACTGACAGAAGCTTGTTGCTATAGAACATACATGTGATATGTGAATACGATAGAGAAAGAGGAAGAACATGCATTTAATAGGTGAATATCGAAATTGAAAAGAAGAAGAGATTAAAACAGTGGCCCAAAGCTAATTTTTAAAAGTTACCAAGACCAAACCAAGACTCGGTTTTTAACGCTCTGTATTAGAAAAAGAGTGACCATCAAAGTTGCGTATAAGAAATTTTCATAGATGGCGCCACTTTCGAAAAATCTGCTATGAAACCTAGCGGTCATTATTGCACAGAATGTGCAGGGAAAAAGTACCAATTTTATAGATGTTTTAAATAGCGTAAGGAGCGTCTCACACGTCCCTTCTGGCAAAGTAGAAGATAATCGGGTTTTTACATTGACTTCCTTGTATACTTGTATAGCAGATTCTTTTCTTTGGGTTGTTGAATGTGCAGAGATACTGGAAATGTCTCAACATTATTATAATTGTATAATTGAGCACGAATTTAGCAAATCTGCACAGTTTTTTTCGATTTGTTTCAAGTTTTCCATGAAAATTATCAATTTAATCGAAAAACTGTAAAAAAAAGTTCTTCAAAGGGTCTAAAAATAACTTTATCATTCTCAAGACTAGTGACAGGTATTAACACTTAAATTCAATGCAAATCGGCATCTTCTTCTGCAATTTTCTTCTTCACTCAGTTTAACATTGCAAACAACTCTGAAAATCCAAACTTTAGGTTATGTTACGAAAACTCAAATATCTGCGAAGACGCAGAAAAATGCAAGAAAAAACAACACAAGTTGGATTAAGAATTGAATACTCTACAATATCTATGCAGTTTAATGCTTCCGGCGGGAACCGAACACTTTGTAAGTCTATTCAAAGACAAATTATCGTCACAAATATGCACTTGTTCAGAAACTAGCCATTAAACATATTATGAGGTCAATTTTTTAATTTCAAACTCACAATCACACTTTTAATACCTGAATTGAGATTGTTGTAAAAAATTAACTTAAATTGGTCAATTTAGCAATTTTTGCACTTTAAACTTCATGAACAAAATCAGTTTTCCGATAACATTCAACTTAGCAAACAGCTGACTTTAACAGCTGCTATCTTACCAGTGGTGCGCACTGTTAATTTTTTGGGTACGTAACATTACGGACTGATGTTATTCCTATGTATATCTGTTAAACAAATAGTACTTTTTTTACTTTTGACAAATGAGTTTCGGCCAGGAAAAGTGGTCAAATTCCCATAGTGCAGAGGTGCACCTCAGCCAGATGGCGATCTGCTGGAATATTTCTCCAGAATGCAATTGGCTAAATGACTCTTTCAGCAGAAGAGTGTGCCCCCAGTTGCCATTCACCATTCACCATTCAATCACTCAGCTCTCAGCCATGGAACCCCCCACCTGGGAGCCACTTATTTCGGTGCCGTGGAAACTGGCAAACCCTTTGGCCGCAGCTGCTGGACCTGCATTAGTTGTTGGATAACTTTCTGTGTCAACGAAGTGCACACGTGGCCATGCCTCGCCCTCTATTTATGTCATATTTCCAGCCCAAAGCGAACCTCCTCCCACTTTGCTTCTCCGGCAATATAAATTTGTGTATTAATATTGTGTCCCAATCCCTTCTGAAATGCTCTCCGCACTGTTGCAAGCTGCAACTGCCGATTGCGATGCCTGGATGCTTAGATGCCGATGCACGTGGCAACCAATTTGAGAGCTGCAAACTCTGAGGGGTGTCCGGGAGGATCGCCTCGTCCTGCCTTGCCTTGCCCCATGTATCGTACCGACAACTTTCGCTTTTCGCCGAGTTTCACATTTCAAACTTATTGCTCCGTGGGTTGGGTCGGGGGGAAGTGAGTTCCGAGTAGCAATAGGAGATTCTTCCTCTGTAAATCTGTCACTGTCACTTCCTGCACCAGTCTCCCCTTGTCTGTGGAGCCCCGTCCTGATGGCAAATCAAATGCCAGTGACAGATTACAGCATCAATCAAGTTGCCACCGTTTTCGTCTTTTGCCCTGTCTGGCATCCTTTTATATATACCTCTGGGTGTGTGTCGGTAAACGGCTCGTGTGTGTGTGCACCATTAATACGGTGCATTATGGCTTAGATAGATGGGTAGGAGCAGAGTCAAAGGCAGAGGACTCATATGTTCCAGCATTTGAAATGCCAACTGACCAACGAGGACTAAGCCACCCAAGCAGATGCGCCTCGAAGCTCGAATCAGGCAATTAAGTTTTACAGGCGCCGTAAAGACACTCCACTTCACTCCAGTCGAAATCCTGTCGCTCTGCTCGATTAATTACGAGAGGGCGACCATTGCAATGGTCGGAGAAAAGCGGCCCAATTGTGCCACAGTTTAATATCCAACATCAAACTGAGACCGTAAACCGTAAACTGAACAACTAAAGGCTAGAACTGGCTTCCATAACTAAACTATAAATATATAATTGCATCCTTTGATCCTTCTTCTTTCCTTAACGCCAAGAAAATAATCATATTTGTAGTAGTCCCAGACTTAACCAGACCTGAACCGTAGAATCAATGCTTTCAATATATGAACTACCTCAGCTCTATGTACTTAGGCTGTCCCAGACCTAACGAGGGAACATTAAGTCCCAGAATATAACGAAACTCCACTTATTTCACTCTGTGGTTCTTTCTTTTGCAGGCCTCGCCCTGAACACAAGCTCGTTGACTGGTCGGCGGGACTCCTTCGATCGTTCCACATCCGCCTTCAGTCCCTCGGCCATGGACTACAGCAGCGGCGGAGTGGCGGCCGCCAATGCGGTCAACAGCACAGTGGCCCAGGCTGCGGCAGTGGCCGCTGCCGCCGCCGCTGCACGTGCCAAGTGGCCAGGAGCAATGTCGAGCGCCGGAGCCTATGGGGCCTTGGGAGCAGCAGCCGCTGCTGCAGCGGCCAACGCCTCGGCGAGTCCAATCGGAGCTCCGCTGACGCCACCGCCGTCGGCCCAGTCCTGTCTGCTGGGCAACCGGGCTCCGGGCGCAGAGTCCCGACAGCGACAGCTTGCCGTTGGCCTTCCGGCCACTGCTGCGGCTGCCCAGGCGGCCGTCAACAATATGTTCGGGTCCAACAGCTCGCTGTTCTCGAGCCATCTGGCCATTCCGGGAACAGCTGCAGCGGCAGCTGCGGCGGCGGCAGCAGCCAACTCTCGGCAGGTGGTCGCAGCTGCTGCGGTGGCGGCGGCTGCTGCCGGGGCGGCTGGAGCTGCAGGACCCCCGCAGCCGGGTAGGTCTCGACTTCTGGAGGACTTCCGGAACCAGCGCTACCCCAATCTGCAGCTGCGCGACCTGCTCAACCACATCGTCGAGTTCTCGCAGGACCAGCACGGATCGCGCTTCATCCAGCAAAAGCTTGAGCGGGCCACGGCAGCTGAGAAGCAGATGGTGTTCAGCGAGATCCTGGGTGCCGCCTACAGCCTCATGACGGACGTGTTCGGCAATTACGTCATCCAAAAGTTCTTCGAGTTCGGCACGCCCGAGCAGAAGAACACTCTGGGCATGCAGGTCAAGGGCCATGTGCTGCAGTTGGCCTTGCAAATGTACGGCTGCCGCGTGATCCAGAAGGCGCTAGAAAGCATCTCTCCCGAGCAGCAGCAGGAGATCGTACACGAGCTGGACGGGCACGTGCTGAAGTGTGTGAAGGACCAAAACGGCAACCATGTGGTGCAGAAGTGCATCGAGTGCGTCGATCCCGTGGCCCTGCAGTTCATCATCAATGCCTTCAAGGGGCAAGTCTACTCGTTGAGCACCCATCCCTACGGGTGTCGCGTTATCCAGCGCATCCTCGAGCACTGCACAGCCGAACAGACCACGCCCATCCTCGACGAACTGCACGAGAACACCGAGCAGTTGATTCAGGACCAGTACGGCAACTACGTCATACAGCACGTGCTGGGTAAGTCCTCCAGGGAGTCTTTGCAGAAGCAGCACTAACCTTGATTCTCCTTCCATGCGTATAGAGCACGGCAAGCAGGAGGACAAGTCCATTCTAATCAACAGTGTGCGCGGCAAGGTTCTGGTGCTCTCGCAGCACAAATTCGCCTCTAACGTCGTGGAGAAATGCGTCACCCATGCAACACGAGGCGAGCGCACTGGCCTCATCGACGAGGTGTGCACCTTCAATGACAAGTAAGTGTCGCCAGCTGATGGCGGATCCTAAACTCAGTGAACTGAGACTGACCGTTTTTCCCTTGCACCAATGCAGCGCCTTACACGTAATGATGAAGGACCAGTACGCCAATTATGTGGTCCAGAAGATGATCGATGTGTCCGAGCCGACGCAGCTGAAGAAGCTGATGACCAAGATACGGCCCCACATGACTGCCTTGCGCAAGTATACCTATGGGAAGCACATCAACGCCAAGCTGGAGAAATACTACATGAAAATAACGCCCATATCTGTGGCGGGAGCAGTCAGCGGTGCTGGAAACGCAGCACCGACCACATCCACATGCTCGATTGGAGCGGGCAGTGCTTCCCCTGCCACCGCATCCTCTGCCGTCTCGCTGGACAACAGCAACAGCAACAGCAGCAGCACAAACTCCTCTTCGACCACCACCAGCATCGCCTCGCCAACTATTTGCTCCGTGCAGGAGAATGGCAACGCCATGATTGTTGAACCATCATCGCCAGCTGAGTCTTCGTCTTCGTCTCCTGTGGTGGCTGCTGTCAACAGTGGCCTTGGGCCCATTGGACCACCCACAACCGCCAATTGTGTCCTTTAAAGACAAGCAAAGAATAAATTATGCGGTCGATGTAGTAAACATAAACAACATTATCCCCCTTCTCGAATTGTTTAGTTTTTAGTCTGCCATTTGCCAGAGGGTGGAGAGCAGAGAGCAAAGAGCTATGAGCAAAGGAGACGAGCTAAAAGCTAAAGCATACTATAAATAAATACATATAAATGTAATCTAACTTATTGAAAAAGCAGACGAATCGAGCTGCAATCAGAAGAGAACCAGCCCCTCGCCGGGCCATCGAAGAATTGTAAAGAAAGAACTAGCTCACGCACGCACGCAAGCACGCAGAACTCACGCACGCAAGCATACACGAATGCTTCTCGAATACGAGTGAAAGCAAACACCCGAGCAAAAACACACACGCGATGTGGAATCAGCTTCTATAGTGCGCGATCGATCGCAGAGACAGAGTGCTCGAAAAAGAAAGAAAGAGAGAAAGAAAACTCAAAACTAATATTTGTATTTTTACGAACAAAAAGTAAATAGAACATAAATGAACGGAAGATTTCAAGCAAACTATTTGTACAATGCGATCGCATGTTTAAGTTTAACAAAAAAACAAAAGGAACGAACGAAAAACAAAGAAATTATTATGAATGTAATTGTCTGTCAAAGAAGCAAATTGTCTGCGTACACTTTCTTTGTAACTTTGTAAATTAATTGATTATATAGCAAGCCTATCTGTAAATGATTAATGTTTCGACTGTAAATTAATAAGAGGACAACCGAAGAGAAATTGAAGGAGAGTGCGATGTAGCGAGTAGATTGTAGCGAGTAGCGAGAGAGAACGCGAGAAAGAGAGAACGACAGCACGAATATGCGTAGAATTTACAAAGGCGGTCAGAGGAAAAAAAATTTCAAATATACATACATACGATACGTTTATTTAACGAATAGCAACATAAACCACACATAATATAGAATGTAGAGTAAATATGTTAATGGAGCCAGCAGCTACCAAAAACAATATGAAACTGGAAACACACGCATACACACGGACAGACAGACAGACGTTCACAACACACACTCTCACACTTACCACAATGAACGACTATTCGACTCATTTGCGCTGCTTTTGCACTTTGTAAAATTTTGTATAAAAAAACCCAAAACCACAAACCTTGTAATGTATCGACATGTAACCATGTAATTTTTCAATTTTTCTCATGTAAAATTTAACTGTTATGTAAAATTCTCATTAATTTTAACTGAACTATTTTTTGTAAGAAAATATGTTCTTTCTGTGTATAGAGAGGGAAACGAAACCGATTACCATAACGATAGCGAAAAAACAAGCAAAACCTACGGGACTCACACGCACGCACATCATACACATACACCTACATTGAAACACCTGTAAACACCTACATACATAAAATTACATGTGAAACACTCATACACGTACACATGCATGCGCATTCTAGGAAGCAAGCTAATATTATTATTATTATTATCACTTTTGTATACATATGTATTTAATTTGTAAATTTGTTTGATTTTAAGTCGCTGTAACCACATACCACTTATGTACTATTCTATTCTATTCTATTCTTACCTATTCTACACGCATGAATTTTTTTAATTGTGTACATTCTACATGGACCCACGCACCCCGCGGACGCAAGATGGTGGTGGGTGGGCGCCAGTAGAGAGAATCGAACCCCCAGCCCTGTTTAGATAAGTAAGCCCAACTGATTACCGAGTTATGATTTTTTTAATTGAAGATGATGATTTCTCATCGATTTTTACTACTTGTACGAAACAACAAACAATAGAGGTAGAAAGAGGGCTGGAAAAACAATTATACGAAAAACCTATCAAATAAACCAAGCGAATGCAAATTTGTACTTGTTCCCATTTTTTGGTTTTCCAAATTGCCAGTCAGTCATTGTCAGCCCACCTTACTGTACGATTTACATAGTATGTATTCATACGAATACTGCGAAAATCCTACTGCTGTCTGCAGTGGTTGCTTAAGACTGCAGAAAGTGCTTACTACTGCTCTGCCCAACTTGAATCGCAATCGCTGTGCAACAGAATCAACATCTATGAACCTCATTTCCCATCCTCCCTCCCACATAAGTGTATAGAATTGTTTTAGCATGTTATTGAAACACTTGTAAATTGCAAACAAAAATTGTATATGTATACATATGTATGAACATTGTAAAAAGTAACCAACAATACCAAGAGTACCAAGAATTTTGTACATTTTTTATATAAATTTAGACTATTTCGGGACGCCTTATTCCAAATACTAAAATACTGAAATGAGAGATGGTAAAAAAATAACGAATTTAGACCTTTTGTCGGTTTCGTCGAAACACTGAAGTATTCATGTAAAACGATTTTCGGAGATGAATCTAAAGTGTATTAATGCATACATATTTTTGTACACAACATTTCGCTGTCGTGTTTTGCCGTTGTTGTTGTCGTGTCATCATCATCCTTGTCCTTTTCGTGTTTTGTATATAACAAAAGAAAGGCCAATCATGGACCATTTTTAACTATACATTTCTGTACCCCCTTCAACACACCTGATACATACATAAATACATATATACACACCCGCAATAAACCGCCAGAGCTAAGAACGGCTCGTCGGGATATCTGGACATTATCGGTATGTCTAGGCAAGTGAGCGCATTTCAAGCGACGGCGCGAGCAGTACTTTGGTATTATCGTTTTGTATTTTTAGTTATTAACTAATCAACTGCCTGTCTCTAGAGCGCAATGCACTGATAATTTTAATTCATATAATTCATATAGGAATCCCCATTGTATGTAGGAACCTCGATAGTCTTCTGTATTGTAAGACATACGTATGTACACTTGTATGTACATGCTAGACGTTACACGTTCTTTGCATTTGACACCAAACACACGCAAACCCACATCCGCCCTACATTCACAAAAACAGAAACACATACATACACACAGCAAGCTGCTTAGTCGTAATCATAAGTGTAAGCCTGCAACTCTATATATACAAACATAGAAACATATATATATACTACATATATACAAAAAAAAACAGATATAAAACATATGTATGTATTAATTTTAGTTTTGAGCTCGAGACGTATAGCAACGTTTTTAAATATGTATGTATATGTACATAAACTGTTAATGCAAATACAGAGGCAGCGACACATTGAAATTTACACTGGGCGTATTCTACAAGCGCCCAGTTTTTACAGTAACCTTTTTTTGCACGCATGTAGATCACTCGAAGAAACAAGTCGGAACCCAGTAGAAATGTAGTGTAACTTTTACAAGATCCATGTAAACTTGACTCATGAAGTGTAATGTTTTTTGTGTGCCACCGGGCTCGCGACCAACGCGACCGCGAGGTCGGACAGTCAAATACAAGCGGTTACGGAACCCAATGAAATTGTACATTTTTCTTTGCCAACTTTATTGTAAAAACGAATTAGGAAACAAAAAATTAATAACGATATTGATATTGTAATGGCATATACATATTACCGATTTGTAAAGTATAATTATAGTATAGAGTCTATACTAAAGACACAGCAGCAGGAGAAATTTGTAAAATTTTTCGACAGCAGAACCTTGTAGACTAAGCTAAGGGCTAAGGACATAGCTAAAAACCATACACTGAATAAACCATTTGTAATTTGTTGTAAAAAGAAAGTACGAATCGAGCGAAGATAGACGGAAACTGGATGGGCAGGCATTTCCTGAAGCAGACGTTAAGAAAACCTATAAATTATATAAATAAAATATACTAATATATACATGCATATAAATATAAATTATAAAGGATAATTACAAGATGTATTTTGTAGTTACACACACACACTCGAACCCTTGGAAACCAATCCAGGTATACAAGCAGAGCAAACCCTTAGTTTTGTAAACGGCGAGCAATTGGCAGAAGTTACGAGTACGAGAATATACAAAATTTTGGAACGCATTCGAGCATTTTATTTACCTATGCATTAGACTCTTATGTTTATTATGATTATACAAAATATGATTAACGCTAATTTCTTTGTGAAAAAAAATAAAACAAGTTTATTATGTAGCAAAACGCAAACGTTTTATTTCTCAATTTTATCGAATCAATTGGCCCTTCTTCTTTACCCAACACGCACAGTACACACAAATGGATTCGGAATTAAAACTCGAGATTGAGCTCTATATTATTAAGTTTACTGCTTCTGTTACGTTTCAAGTTCCGCTTCAAGTTTCAACAAATTGGATTCAATGGAAGGCTGCGATGACATAAAAACTAAAATCAAAATTGATATTAAAACGACATGAAAGAAGAAATAAACATAGAATTATGTATACATAAAAAAATATATATACATACATTTATAATTAATACACACTAACCAAAACCTACAGCCCTCCCCGACACCAACAAACGGCACAACAAACGTGAGGTGAGCGTCTAGCTTGAGGCGAGGCATTTTATAAGACGCATTTTTTATATATGAATAGACTAGCTGTCTATATGATATGTACACCCAAGAAATGATCAACTTTTATAATGAGAGCCAGTAAGTAAACAAGAAATATTTTTTTAACAGCCATGGCAACACAACTTTTACCAGGCCGTCAATTTTAACAAGATTATACATACGATACGAGTACTAAAAAGAATACCTACTAGCCTAAAACCCAAAACCAAAACGAAAACAAAAGCAAAAAGCAACAATAAAATTCATACCATACACCATTAATCATGTAGTAGAATTTTTCCAAATTGTAGAAATGTATACATAAATATATTTAGATTTGTCCTTGCACTCTCGAAGTTCGGGTAGGGTATGCATAAGTTGGTACTTCCTTGTAATCAGTCAACTAAATGGCGAAAACTACAATAAAACAAGCGAAAGTCTTTTCAAAATCCATCAAAACAAATACCAACCAACGTGCAGTATAAAAACATAGTTTTATTGTACATAGGGAGAACCAGGCATTCTCGTATTCAACAGCAAGATGTAGGTTTTGGAAAGTGGAAGGTCGAACTATTGGACAAATCAATCAATTACCTCGAATCAGTTATATTCCCAGAATTCCCTAACCCTCAAGGACCACATCTTACGATCTTCCACTTGACTTTTGAGGTGCTTAAAGAAGCCGCTCATGACCAATGCTTGAACTCCTTTAGATACATATGTATATGTATGCATGTTAAAATCCCATAGCCTCAACATTCTGCACTCATTTCACAAGAAGACGCAAAAACTTGATTTAAATTATACAAAGATATTAACGAGAAGAAGAACCCTAAACGTTATTAGCCACACATGTACGAACGAAAGATGAACATAACTAATGAACAAAACTTGTAACTAATTACTTCTAAATATTGAATAAAAGAACGATATAAAAAATGTAAATCGCCCAAGTACGCTTTCGATTATGTTTTATTTGGCATGTTACATCAAGAAAGTAAAAGTCGCCGTAATACTATCGTTTTTAGGTCAAGATTATAGCTCTTTCTCCTTATCCTGCATGTTGATCATCGTCTGCTGCTGCTTGTTATTTTATGATGCGTCTTGTAACTGGCGGATGCTGGCCAATCCT